TTGGCATATAAAAGTGAAATTGATTTTTTCTGACTGTATCACCCCTTTCTATTGTAAATGTTCTATATATTTTTTTTATTAATTTTGATTTAATAAACGTAATTTCAAAATTTTAGAGTGCTAACGATAAGTTAATTCTTTAGATCACAATTGTTTAATTAAAAACCTTCAGTTTACATTTAAATGGTTTACAAAAACTAACATTAAAATGAATTATATACCTCAATTTTATATTAGTAAGGTAAATTACACAGTTGTATTTGGATGTCGACTTTTAAAAAATTATAATTACACATATTTTGTATAATTTAATTTTAAAATTTTTTTAAAAAGAATTTCCGCAATACACTAAGTTTACTAAATATAGAAAAATATTAATTTTACTTAGAAAAAATGATAAGCACTTGTATAGACTGAAATCTTTTTCTACGGTTTTATATTTAAATTTAAGGTTAAACTTGCTGTATGCCAGAAACTATCGGACCTTTACCTCTGAAATAAAATAATAAATTGAATAAATTGATACAATATGGGAAACATCTCACTTTCAAATCATATTATAAACAAAAATGAAACCTTTAGAACTTAACAAAAAATGAGACATTTGACCCAACTCTATATTTAAAATCTAGCCCTATGCCAATTTTGTTTATATATTACATGCCTACTAATTATTTGCTTGTGATGTTTCATATTAATATTTTATCAGATTCACTATCAGAATTGAATTTTCCATGAAAATATCAACATAATACAATTACCGTAATATATCAAATGAAAATCATATTGCAAAAAGTTTAATATAATTTTAATAAGGTTGATATATAAAAAGCATTTAAATATATTATATTAATACAAGCATTATTTATAATTATAAATAAAAATTATTTAAAATAAAAGTTAACATTTTGAAAGTGACAATTATTAAACTTCGGAGCCTCCTCTTTACTACTTTTATTGAAAGGTATATTAATTGGTAAATCTTGTGATTCAAGATTTGTAATTTGAGAAGTTTGTAATGGTTTCTTATTGTAATCTTGAATTTGTTGCACAGGTTCATAAATTTCTTGATTAATATTTTGAACTTGATTTTGAGATTCTTGGTTCTTTATATTATAAGTAGAAATAAGTTGCTGCAAGGTATTCATTTTTTGTTGATCATTTGGTACTTTATATTTTCGTATTGCATCAACAGATGTCCAGTAATATTCATAATAACTTGTTCTTCTACATTTATATCTTGCATTAGTTGTGCTGATGTTTTTCGCTCAGAATGATTAGTTAATAAGCCATCAATTTCAATGCCAGTTTCATTAATAAGATCCTTTATAAATGTAGATAGTGAATTCTTACCAATATGTTGCTTACAATACCAGTTTCCAGTTTCTTTCCCTAATAAATTATAAGTTTGTAAAATTTATAAAATTGTTATAAATAAATATAATTAACTTACATTTGGATCTGTTTGTAAATAAAAATTTGAATCTGCATCTAATGGTCTTTTTTTAAAATATAATTGATAATCATAGTATGGTCTTTGAGAATTAAATGAATCAGCTAGAATTGAAATCTTTTGTGCTATGCCTCCTGTTATTCCTCTTTGATTATTTTTTGTACAAAATTTTTGAAAATCAATTTCACCATCATCTCAAAAATTAAATTGATCAACTGTTAACTGATAATACTCACTACTTCGATAAGCTAAAGAAGGGTATTATGAAAAATATTCTTTTTAATGAGTAAATCAGGAGTTAATGTTGCTGTTGTTAGATTTGATAAAATGTTTGCAATATTTTGTCAAGTTAAAGCAGCAGATCCTTTTATTTCTTCAAGTCCTTTATCTTGTAATTCTTTCATTGTACTATCAAGAACTTTTGTTAATATAAGTAATGATAATAATCACGTAAATTAATCCCATAAATAGTTGAAATTCTATTAAATATCAATTAATCCCATCAACAGCTTGTCTTATTGATAATGCTCTATATTCAGTTTCATTTTTTTTTATAGTAGCAATAAAACCTGCCACCTGATTTTCTAATATAGATATATCTGAAATAAGATTCAATGGAATCTTGTATTGATCATCTTATGGATAAGATTCAATCATATTTTTTTGGAATTTTTCAAAGAGTTCAAGCCAGTTTTTTGTTGCCCTTTCTGTATTTTGAACTTGTGACTTGTTTTTGATAAAATAAAATTGTCTTTTCGATATCAGTATTTTTATATGATTTAGGTTGTAAATTTAGATTGTTTAAAACTTCACGAGCAGTATTAAATTTTATAGTCTTCTTTAATTTTATTTTTGAGAAATAAAATTAAAAAAATTTAAAAAAAATTATTGATGATGTAAAAAAACACTATTTTTACATCATAATAACATGTGAATCACATAATTCATGTGATTTTTCTTATCACGAGTGTTAGTAATTAGGAAATATAATATTTATTTACCGCTCAATCACTGATATCATCAGGATTATAGCTGCGCTGTGACACTTGATGATATCTTTGATTTTGTGATAAATAACTAATACACATTAATTAATTATATTTTATAACTAATTTGTATATTTTTTATAGAATATTTTACCAGAGAAATTAATCTTGATATTAATGTTCCTACGATAGACATTATTTAGGAATTTAGTACTTTAAAGTAAATAATAAAATTATAATTTTACAAATGAAGAAACTTAAATTTTTTCTTTATTAGTTGTATTTTAAAATGTTATAATATTCTACAATTTTGATCACAGACAAATTAAGTAACAATTTATTTCAGTAATAAAGCATATTAGTATGAAATTTTTATTAATGGTTGCACACAATTTTTAGCGATATTTTAATATCTGCAAAAATATCTAATTTTATATCTATTAATTATATTTATTGATTACATAATACAAATAATGAAATAAAGATCGCTATAATTTATAATTAAAAGTCACATTTTTAAAATGATAATTGTTAAAAATTAGTAATTTATTATCAACAATTGATGGATT